AGGCCTCATTGTCAACCATCTGGGCCATCACAATGAGGCCCCTGTTAAGACATAGAGGCGCTCTCAGAAGCTGCAGATATTCCTCCAGGTGGCAATTACACAAAAAGTGAGCAATTCTCCTAGCAGATATGAAGGTTATTCAGAGGTCCCCCATAATTTCCTTTAGAACCAGTTTGTGAAGATGGACACTTTGTCCATATCTTGGGAGAGCATGGGGGAGGAAAGACATGATGTGAGCTTTGAGAGGTGCGGCAAAAGGCACTTCTCCAACAGATACTACTACTCAGAATGGAAAAGGAAAATTAGAAGCTTCAAACGTCTGAACATGACTTGCTGAAAAGGGCCTAAAGTTGATTATGAAGAATTCTTTCAGAGTGACCAGCACAAGAACAGCCCAGCTTCTACAGTGCCCCCTGGTTTCTCATGGTTTGTGTCTTAGTTCCCACTTGGACTCAAAGCCATAACCTCCAATACAATCTTTCTTCAGGAATCAGAGGTCATATTTAAAGTGGTTTTAAGTCTGTTGGGAAGCCATAAGCCCTTGATTCTATAACATGAAAAACATGAAAACCTAGAAACCATCGTTGACTTTGTAAACTCTCAAACTGAGCTTGTTGCAAATGGAAAAGACCATCAATCAGGTGTTTGAGAGGCCCACCTCTAAACAGGCACAAGCTTATGGAGTACACCACATAATTCAAAACAACTGATTCCTCTCTTCTCAGTAACAAAGAATGGAAAATTTAGAGAAAACCAGCAGCTTACACAAACAAAACCTTGACCTCCTTGAACAACTGCAAATAGTAGGCTCCAAAGCTTCAAAGCCACAGTTAAGAAGCTCCTGACCAGTGAAAGCAAACTGAAGCATGTTACTCGTCTTGGAACTGACAACCTACTGAACATGAGAAGTTATATCTGTATATCATACAAACATTTGACTGATACCAAAGATCTACAAAGAACTCATATAATTCAACAAAAACAACCCAATCAAAAAGTAGGAGGTAAAAAAAGGCACTTCTCCAAAGATGACAGATGGCCAACGATGCATGAAAAAATGTTCATCATCACTTATCATTGGGAAAATGCGTATCAAATGATGACATTATGACCCCTCTCCTTTGAGAATGGCCCATATGAAAAAGACCAAAAACAAGTGCTGCTATGATGTGGAGTAAAAGGAACCCTCTCACCTGTTAGTAAGAATGTAGAGTGGGCCAGACCCTAGGGAAAATAATATGGATGTTTCACAAGATTAAAATGGACCAGCTGCATGAACCAATAATTCCACTCCTAGGTATTTTCTCAGAAACCTAAAAACACCAATTTGAAGGGAAACATGCAATCCTGTGGTCGTTGCATTATTTACAATCGCCAAATTATGGAAACAACCTAAGTACCCAAAAAGTAGATGAGTGGATCAGGATGTGATACCTATGCACAATGGAATACTATTCAGTGATCAAAAATCATAAACTGATGCAATATGCAGCAATATGTACAGGGCTAGAATTAGCTTAATGATTATACTAAGTGAAGTCAGTAAGGAGAATGACAAATTAACAGATGGTGTCACATGTGGAATACAGAGAAACCAAACAATGGGTGAGGTGAAATGAAACTCAAAAACCCCTGAAAACTGACTACAGAGGGGCTGAGAGCAAGAACAAAGTAGTGAGGGGGAACACTGAACTACAATGGTGTGCTGCAGGTGCTCTGGGGGCGAGGGCAAACCTAAAGGGGGTGATCCTATTTCTAAAGTACAATAGCATAAACCAACATCACCTAAATAATTTTAAATGTAAGTAAAAATAGGAAAATGGAATTAGACGCTTCACCAAAGAAGTCAGAGTGACAAATATACACATGAAAAAAATGCTATGCCCTTAGAGAAATGCAAATTAAAACCATAGTGGGATGCCACTATATACTTATTAGATCTTTTTAAATTTTTTAACATCAATAACTTGCAAGAATACAGAAAAACTATAATTCTCAATAAAATTCCATTTTCCTATTTTTATTTACATTTAAAAGTATTAAAATTATTTACAAATGCTCATTGTCCTCCCTACTTTGTTCTTGCTCTCTGCTCCTCTATTGTCAAATTTCGAGGGTTAGTTTTTGAGTGTGATTTTATCTCACCCTTTGTTTAATTTCTCTGTATTCCACATATAATTAGCTGGGTATTTTAAAATTTAAGATTTACTTCTAGGTATCTAACTAAAGACTGAAAAAACACTAATCCAAAGGGATATTACATGCCTTCCTATATCCATCACAGCACTTTTTACAGTAACCCAGTTATGGACACAACCTAAGTGTCCAGTGACAGATGATTAGATTAAGATGTGGTGTATGTACATATACACACAATACACTACTCAGTTATTTTTAAAAAGTGGAAAAAGATGAAATCTTGCCATTTGCAAAAAAGAAAAAAATGGATAGGATAGAACTAGTTAGGATTATGTTATATGAAATAAATTAGGGAAAAAACAAAGGATAATTTCACTCACATACAGAAATAAAGGAACAGATAAAACCAAATCTAATCAAGACCTAGAAATTGAATATAAACTGAAGTTAACATAGATGGTCAGTGGAGTCACTGGACTATAGAAGATTATGAGTGCCTTGGTGGTGAATATGATTATATGTGCCTTTCTAAGATTCCCCACTTCTAAATATTTACCCAAGAAAAATGTAAACATATCCACACACACACCAAAAAAAAAAAACTGTACACAAATGTTTAAAGCAACTTTATTCATAGTCACCAAACACTTGAAACAATCAAAATATTCCTCAATTAAGAAACGGATAAATGTGCAAAACATATTCCACCGTGGAGTACTACTCAGCAGTAAAAATGAACAAACTTGATACATACACCATAGATGAACTTAAATGCATTATCCTAAAGACTTAGACACAAAAGTCTACATACTATATGTTTTATGAAAGTAATAGTATAGAGGTAATAAAAAAATTTTGGTTAGCAGGGAATAAGTGGGAGACCGGAATAAGAAAGGACAATAAAGAGGCAGTATGTAGAAATCTGTATGGTCATATGTCTATTTATAAACGTGATTGAAATGGTAATAGCATGCACTTATCAAAACAGAACTATGCCTTAAGAGGAGTAAAATTTGCTTTAACAAAAATAATTCATAAAATAAAAACATGTCACATGGAAATTTTAGAATAACCCCCTCAACTGATAAGCTAAGTAGCAAGAATGGTTAAGATGAGAAGTAAAGTCTCTTAACCTCCATTCAAGGGTTCTTTAAACGATAGCAGTTAATTTTCTTTAAAAAAAAAAAAAAAGGTTACTCCAAGTAAGAAATACATTACTACCACAAATCTGGCAGCTTAAAACAGTTTTTTAATCACAATTTTACAGATCAGAAGTCTGGCACTGAATTCTGGCTGCATTTTCTGCTCAAAATGAAGGTGTTGGTCAGCTGGACTCTATGTGGAGACTGTAGGAGAAAAAAAAATCCATTCTAAAGAACATACAAATCACTGGCAGAATTCAGTCTAATGCCATTGTAGAACAAAAGTCACTTCTTTGCTGTCAATGAGAGGTTGCCCACATTCCTTGGCTCACAGCCCTCTCCATCGTCACAGTCAGCACTAATGAGTTGTCTTTTTTTTAATGCGTTAAATCTTTCTGACATCCTCTTCTGCCGCATCTCTGTAATTTCCTCTTCTATCTTCAGCCAAAGAGAAGGGTCTGCTTTTAAGGTTTCTGTGATTATTTTCCCCAGATAATCCAAGATAATCTATTTTAAAGCCAATTGATATTAGTTGCATCTGCAGCAGCTTTTGTCATGTTATGTAACATATCCACAGGTGTACCAGGAATGTAGATAATGGGGGCCCAAATTCTGTACAGTATATACTTCACAATTAACTATTAAAGATACATACAAATGAAACAAAAATACTTAATCTTACTCAAAACGCTGATGCTTCTAACATATTTTAAAATGCCATTGGTAACATACTATACTGGCCAATGAGTAGCAATCTCTGAGTTTACCTTGAATAAAGGCCAGTGTGTCCTTTAAAATTCTATTTGAAGTAATAGGAGACCTGTGGAAGATGACTCAGGTCTAAGAACCTCTGAAACCACACTCAAAAGTTGTGGGACTAACTAATCAAAAGAAAAATCCATTTGAAATGACACTGTATAAAAGTCAGTGCTACTGGGGCCCTCCCGGGTGGCGCAGCGGGTTAAAGCACTGCACTACGAAGCTTAAGCCACTTCCTCATGAGTTTGATTCCCGCCTGCCCCGGAGGAGTCCACATGGCGTGGCAGACCTCTCCTGACCCGCCCGCTGCTCCCCTCAGCAGTGTACTTCGTCAATCTGCCTGTTCTGTTCCCCATTCTGTCTCTGGTGAATCCTCTCACCCTCCGCATCTCTAGCCTGTACCCCAGTTCTATATGAATAAATAAATCTTTAAAAAAAAAAAAAAAAAGTCAGTGCTACTGAAGGCTGTCAAAGTACAAAAAGACTGAAAAATCATAACAGACTGAAAAGATATCACAAGTAAATGCAAAGTAATATCCTGAATTGGATCTTGGTAACGAAAAAGGGAATTAATGGGAAAATTAGAGAAATTCAAATGAAGTCTGACTAGTTAATATTCCTCCTAAAGATTACTATCATAGTTTTGACAAATGAACTTGGTAATCTAAGATCTAACAATGAAAAATTAGGTGAGGGGTTTACAAGAACTTTGTACTATCTTCGTAGCTTTTCTTTCAATCTAGTATTACTCTAACATTTACTCATGAAACATAAGAATGAGCATCTTTGCATTTTTCTAGGGAGACTGTGAACTTTGTTATTCTCAATCTATAATCTAAAAATAATTAAGACCCACCATCTGAGGCTTTTCTTAAATACTACTTTCCAAATACTCTGCCTCCTTTCTACTAGGTCACCCTCACCCCACCTCTGAAACCAAAATTTAGCCTGGAAGAGGAGAACAATGAGGAGTTGTTGTTTAATAGTACAAAATTCCAGTATGGTGAAATGAAAACTGTTCTGGAGATGAATGATGGTGATGATTGTACAACATTGCAAAAGTACAACAATCCACTTAAAAATAGTTAAAACAGCAATTTTTGTTATATATATTTTATCACAATCTAAAAATAAAGGGTACTAACACATGCTGTAACATAAAACTTGAAAACATTACCTGCATGACAGAAGCCAGACACAAAACACCATGTATTATGATTCCAATCATATGAAATGTTCTAAAATTGATAGCTGCAATATTAGTATATTTACTAAAAACTATTGAAATGCACTCACTTTAAAATGGAAAAATTGTAAGGCATGTAAATAATATTGCAATAAAGTTGCTAAAATATTTAGTTAGTTCTAAATTTATTATCACAATTTACTTAAACTTAAGACCATAAGTGGTATCCAATAAATTCTGGAGCCACATTCTGATAACATGCTGGGAAAATAAAAATCAAATAAATGAGAAGACTGAGGTTTGGAATGGCTGACAGGAAAACTCAGGAAGGCCTGTGACTAGGTCTGGTAACTCTCCAGTCATACAAGCAAAGACAAAGGCAAAGTTATAAAACACACTAGGCTGCAGTTGATCACAGACCTTTATTCTGGTCCTCCTCATCATCATTTATTATCATCAACCTACACAAAACATTTTTTTATCTCTGCCCCAAGCAGCAGCAGCTTGCAACCAGGCTTGAAATGGAAGACACAAGTAGTGGAAGACCTTGTAGAAAAAAGCTAACAAATGAGAGCTGTGCTTATCCCAGCTAGATGAAGGTACAACAGGAAAGTGTGTAAAGAAAAGAATCCAGACTGTCTTCAAAGCTGAGGCCTGCAGGACAGGGACTAACGGAAGGACGCAGGTGAAGAGTCACAGAACTGCCCAGCTCGGAAATCAATCCAAAGTACCTAAAAACACAAAGAGCAACATGTAAAGCAAGGTGCCTGGAGAACTGGCTGAGTGTAACAATCTAGGCAGTTAAAGTGGAAGCTGCTCTAGCACTGACAGTTCTCTCAGATCAAAATACTCATTTAGAAGAATATCCCTCCAAAAGATACTTGGGGAAAAACATGTCATCACAGAAGGTAGTCAGTTAGGAATTAAACAGTGAGAGTAAGATAAAATTAAAGTTAGGTGAGAAAAGGGATGAGCTGCATTAATGAGCACTGTAGAAACCATACAAAGGATGAGTGATAAAAAATACATGAGATAAATTCTCTAGGCAAAGTTTATATCTTTTTAGAAAGTACCATTTCAAGGTGGGAGATTGAGCCCATAAATTCACTGACTCACCCCATGCAAAATTCCATTCAGAAAGAAAAATTGTTCAAAAAAGATATAAATCTACTACAAAGAACAGGGGTCCACCAGCTGTTAAGAGATTTCAACAAAGAACTGAATAACAGAAATATGACTTAATTTTATTTATAAACAGAACAGAGGAAAACAAAGTCTAGTATAATCACAGAGGGAGCTACAGCAGAGGTGGTAACCCATCGGCCTAGAAGACCAAAGGGGAGATCCAGACTCAGACCCCAAGAATGATGGAAGAGACAAGAGACTAAAATGGGTTAATGACTTCAAGGGTCTATAAAAGAAACAGTTGAAGCCATCTCCACATCCTACATGCAGCACCACCAAAAGGCAGGCATTTAATCCAAACTTGGGAGGAAAGAATCGGAAGACTTTCTTCTAAAGAACTAAATGAATTAGTGGGATAGAACCAGAGCAGTTTTTGAAAATGCCAGTTCACCACAGTAAAGCTTTCTCTGTGTTCTAGGTCCCCAGCACAATAAGTGGTCCAACTCTACCCATTCTAAACTGTTATATAAAGAGGACACACATGTCCACACACTTTCCCAAGTCTTCTTAGCCCCTCATTTTCACATAGAATGAAAATTACTAGGCATCTGAAAAAAACCTACACAATGAAAGACCAAAATGTCTATTTTTAAAAGTGGCAATACAAATTACTGCTGGGGCCACTGATAAAATTATTTTTAAAATGAAAGTCCTTTAGACACTGAAGAAGCATCAATAAAAGACAAATCCAAATCTAGAAAAGATAAGAACATGAAGTAAACTCAACATCCAAAACTGCTTTGCAATGAAGGTATTTTTCTAATCTAAAGAAAAGAGCCAAGGGCCCTCCCTGATGGTGCAGCGGGTTAAAGCACAGCACTAAGAAGCTAAAGCCACTTCAGCATGAGTTGTATTCCTGCCCTGGGAGGTGACCCACATGGTGTGGCAGACCTCTCCTGGCCCACCCACTGCTCCCCTCAGCAGTGTACTTCATCAGTTGGCCTGTTCTGCTCCCCACTGTCTCTGGTGAATCCTCACCTCCCCTGCACCTCTGGCCTGTTCCCAGCTCTGTATGCATAAATAAATAAATCTTAAAAAGAAAAAAAGAGCCGAGAAATTGCTATGGCTTTGGCAGACAGAATCAGTCAAAAGTCAAATCCCAGAATCCTTCAAAGAGGGAAAGGTCTTATAACTTCCCTTTTAAAAGTTAGAGTCCCAAATGGCTAACCTCTCAGTAAAGCAGACTCAGAACCAAATTAGCCCCTTTGCAGACCCATAGTTAAGAATTTGTATTTACCACAGTGATCCAAGAACCCTTATTCCAAATCTTGGATTGGAGATAAGGGTATCTTGCACTAATGAATGCCCACAGGTGCATTGCAGAAGAAAAGGAGAAAAAAAAAGTTACAGTGTATATGTGCATATATAATGGAATTACTTTTCAGTCATAAAAAATAAGAAAATCCTACCATTTGTAATATGGATGGACTCTGAAGGCTAGTAAAATAAGTCAAAGAAGGACAAATACTATATGGTCTCACTTCTATATGGAATCTTAAAAAAACCAAACTCACATAAAAAGGACTAAGACTTGTGTGCTAACGATAGGCTTTGATAAATTAAAGATGCATGAAGCAACTGAGAGAGTAACAATTAAACGTATAACAGAGGGAGTATGTAACTTCCAAACTCACAGAGGGTAAAGTGGATTAACTCTACTCCAAATAAGAAAGATCAAAAGCTAAAGAGAAAAGAAAAACAAAAACAATACAGGCAAATACAAATAGCACAGAAGGTGATAGACTTAAACCTACACAGATCACTAATAACAAAATATAAAGGAATTAAGTTTCCAGTTAAAGACAGTCTGAACGCTTAAAAATAGTCCAATTATATACAATTCACAAAGATGTGGAGAAGTAAAAATGGAAACACACACTATGCAAATACTATATAAAAAAGATAGTAAACTTTAATGTTAGACGAAAGACTCTTTAGGCAAGTCTACTAGAACTAATAATAATCAATTTACAAAAGTAATTACCAACAATGCATAATACTAAATTTACATATACCTAATCACATGATCTTAAATATGAAATAAAGATAAAAACAGAAATAAAGTAAAAATGGTCTACATAGTATGAGACTTTAGTAGCTGATTAAATAAACAGACAAAAAGATACTCAGTAACAGATAATCTAAATTGCAATAACCAAATAATATTGTACCCAAGAGCTACAAGATATGCCTCTTCTTTGAGGACAGAAAACCCTCATAAAATTGATCATACACTGGGGACTTAGAAAAAGTTTCAAATACTCCAAAGTACAAAAATATTTTAATAAAAGTGCATTTTCTGAAAATAATACAATTATCATTAATAATAGTAACAAGAGAACCACAAAATTCTCATATTTGTGGAAATTAAAAAATATTCATGTAAGTAACACAAGTTCTTCATAATTTGATAGTCAACTTAGTGGTGTAACAGGTTAACATGCAGCACTGTGAAGCTAGCCACAGCCGCTTCAGCTCAGTTCCATCCTTGGCCAGAAAGGTGACCCACATGGCACAGCAGACCTCTCCTACCTCTCCTGCTACTCCCCTCAACAATGTACTTGTCAATCTGCCTGTTCTACTCCCTGATCAGTCTCTTGTGAATCCTCATAGCCCCTGCATGTCTGGCCTGTACCCCAGTTCTGTATACATAAATCTTTTTTAAAAAATTTTTTTTTCTATTAAAATTTGTGAGACGCTAATGCAAAATCTCCTGGGAATTTTTTTTTTTAAAGATTTATTTATTCATACAGAACTGGGGTACAGGCCAGAGATGCGGAGGGTGAGAGGATTCACCAGAGACAGAGTGGGAAGCAGAACAGGCAGATCGACGAAGTACACTGCTGAGGGGAGCAGTGGGTCAGGAGAGGTCTCCCACACCATGTGGTCTCCTCCGGGGCAGGTGGGGGATGAACTCATGCAGAAGTGGTTTAAGCTTCTTCTTTGTGCTGTGCTTTAACCTGCTGCGCCACTAGGGAGGGCCCTCTCCTGGGAATTTTATAATGAAAATGTATACAGTGCATTTTCAAGTTTACAAAAGAAAAGGTTAATGAACTTAAAAAAAAGTGATGGAAGAGCAGAACCAATGTAATATAAAACAAAATATATATATTAGAGAGAATCAACAAAGCCAAAGTTGGTTCTTTGAAAACTGACAAGTTTCTAGTGAAGTGATCAAGAAAAAAAAGGTTGTGATTATATTAAGAATAAATTTGATAAGTTTAAAAAACTACCAAAAAGTCTAGGTAGCTGTGTGACTAAATTCCACCAAACATTCAAAAAATAATGCAATTTTGCAAAAAGTTTTCCAAAGAACAGATAAAGCAGGTATATTCTCCAATTAATTTGTATGCTCACATGTTCCATGAAAGAAAATGCAAATCTCTCTTATAAATAATGACCCAACATTTACTAAGCTAATCTGCCAAAAATTTATGGTATGTCTAATTACTGGGAAATATCAAAAATTCTCATTGAAACCAAGATAAATGTTTTCATCACTTATAGTGCAGCATAACAAGATAAAAAATTTAAAAGGGTTGGAGAAAATGTTACAAAATTGTCCCACTGGCAGATAATAAATAAAGAAATCCAAAAGAATCAATAGGCAAGTCATGAAAATTAATAAGCACTGAGAAAGATGCTAGATATAAAATTAACACATAAGATCAGTTACATTTCTATACACTAGCAACATGTAGAAAATGCAAATTTTGGGCCCTCCCTGGTGGCGCAGCGAGTTGGAGCACTGCACTTCCAACCTAAGCCAAGCCATGGACACTTCAGTGTGAGTTCGATCCCCACCCAGGAGGTGACCTCTCCTGTCTCACCTATGCTCTCCTCAGCAGTGTACTTTGTTGATCTGCCTGTTCCGCTCTCTACTGTTTCTGGTGAATCATCTCACCACCTCTACATCTCTGACCTGTATCCCCATTCTGCATGCATGCATAAATAAAATCTTAAAAAAATAAAATGCAATTTTTTTCTAGTAAGATAGCACCAATGAAAGCATCAGAAGTATTACGTATTTAGAAAAACACCTATTTTCTTTAGGAAAATAAAAATTGTATTAGCAGTTAAAAACAAGTAAGTGGAGAAATATATGGCATTCATGAACTGGAAGATTCATTATTGTAAATATCATTTTTTCCCTAAAGTAATCTATAGACGCGGGCCCTCCCTGGTGGCGCAGTGGGTTAAAGCACTGCACTGAGAAACTAAAGCCACTTCTGCATGAGTTCGATCCCCGCCTGCCCTGGAGGTGACCACATGGCGCGGCAGACCTCTCCTGACCTGCCCCCTGCTCCCCTCAGCAGTGTACTTCGTCGATCTGCCTGTTCTGCTTCCCACTCTGTCTCTGGTGAATCCTCTCACCCTCCGTATCTCTGGCCTGTACCCCAGTTCTGTACGAATAAATAAATAAATCTTTAAAAAAAAAAAAAGTAATCTATAGACGCAATGCCATTTCAATCAAAATTTCTTTTTGTACAACTTAACAAGCAGATTCTAAAATGTACATGAAAATGCAACGAATCATAAACAGCCAAGAAAAAGGTGGAAAGACCTGCTGTTTCAGATAAAATTAACTGTAATTTAGACAGTATGGTACTGACAAAGGAATAGATGGTACTAACAAAGGAATAGACAAACAGACCAATATGCAAGAAAAGGAAAGCTCAGAAACAATCTTGATTTGTACCAAAGGTGGCACTGCCGAACAAATGGATATGGATAAGTGCATTGCTAATAAAGAAAACAAAAAATGAAACTGGACTTTATCTCAATTCAATACACAAAAAGTCCACTACAGTTTACAAAAGACAAAAATACTATGGAGATTAACTTCAGAACTTGAAGAAGAAAACATTTCCTATTAAGCAGGACATAAACATCACTACCTCTAAATTTAAAAATACATTTGACTACTTTTAAGAACTCATGTTTATCAAAAAGTCATAACCAGGAAAAGATACTTGCTCCACATATACTGAAAAAGATTCCATTCAGAATCTGAATTCTTAGGAATAAGAAAAAACAATGAAACAGCCATAAGAAACCTGAGCAACTCCACCTTCAAAATGGAGATACATATGAAAAGAGGATCAATGTTTCCAGTAATCAGGGCAATGCAAATTAAAACTACAATGCAACTGTCATTATACATTCCTATCACAATCAAAAACTGATAGCAAAATAAATACCTGACAATGCCAAATGTTTGAGATAATGAACAGCAATGGGAACTATATACTACTGGCAGGAATGTGAAATACAGAAAGATACAGCACCTAATATATTGCCTATACTCAACAATTTTATGCGCTCACACACACCCTTTGTAAAAAGTGTACAAGAATGTCCTCAGCAAATTGTTCATAATAGCAACAACAGGACACATTAAACAAGAGAATCCAACAAAGGAACATTAAAATGGTTTCACTGCATTATTATCAGTGGTGCACCATACAGCATAGAAAAAGAAAAATCTAGAGATATGTGCAAGCACATAGATCAATCTAAATAAAAAAAGCTGTGGGACAGATGCTAACCAATGAACAAAGACAGCTGTTTCCAATCTAGAAAGTTCAAAAAAATGTAAAAATGAACCCTATTACTTACAGATGCATAAGTATATGGTACAACTATAAAGAAAATCAAGGAAGGAATAAGTCACAATACTGTTATATCAGGAAAGGAATGGAAAGATACAATGACAAAAAGGTATACAGAACTTCTAGAGTACTTGATGCCCTACTTCTAGGTCTAGCTGGAAGTTATTAAGGTGTTCATTTTATTACTTGTTGAGTTCAACATTTTTCTTTGTTACAAGGAAAAACTAAGAAAATACACACTCTTTTTTTTTTTTAAGAGTTTTTTATTTATTTATGCATACAGAACTGGGGTACAGGCCAGAGATGCAGAGGGTGAGAGGATTCACCAGAGACAGAGCGGGGAGCAGAACAGGCAG